AATACATACATAGTCTTTTCTTCTTTTTCAATGTACTTAATGGCTAGATTTTTATAACTTCCACATGCATCTATTCTGATTATTAGCCTTATGACTCTGGATGGTATGATATGCAATGGCTGTAGTGGACCAAGTTGCAGATGGCACTGTATAATAACATAACCTGCATCATTGGCTCATCAGAGGGATGCAGGCAAAAATGAAAGGAAACCTTCAATTCTTTATTTCATTTATAAAATAGAGATGCAAGTTATTAGGCACTTACTATTGTGCTGGAAGTACTGGATGAGCTAGGGGCAAAGGGGTAACTGCCAGTTCATGCCAATGACCACACATTACTAGCCCCTAGCCAGTTTTTGATACTGCATTGGATTAAGTCATCTTATTAACAAATTTGCATTGTTTTTTAACCCCTTCCCAACGGGTCACACCATGAGGCATCAAAACAAACCTCTCAATCCGTGGCGTGGGGCTGTATGCCGCGGCAGCGCGCCAAAGTACTACGAGCCAGTGATTCAGCTTGATGTTCTGAACTCCCATGCTCAAAGTCGGCGCATTCCGATTGATCTCCAGAGCGTAGAGGTTTTAGTTTTTAACCCCCTTCATGATGGGTCACGGCTATAGGCATGAAAACAAACTGCTTGAAATGTGGCTGTATGCCTCGGCAGCACGCCAAAGCGCGATGAGCCAGTGATTCGGCTTGATGTAAAAGAACTCCAACGCTAAAAGTCGGCACACTGCCGTTGATTGCCAGAGCGTAGAGGTTTTTTTCTTTTCTTTTCTTTTCTTTTCTTTTCTTAATGCGTCACCATTGGGTTGATGGCCACATATGTTTTGTAATCTTTTACAGAAACAGGTAGTACTATTGGTACCAGGGATGGCAAATGATGTATTGTATTTAGCTTAAAAATAAATATAAGTATAACTTCACTTCATATTTTACCTGTAAGATATGCACTTCGTTATCTCCCATCCTCATTTGCCAAAGTAGGGATCACAAAGTCTTGGATAAACCCATTTATTGTAGGGTTTGTAGAGAGAGTCTCTTCTATTTTTTATTTTTATTATTGCTGAGCCAAGAGCGTGCCTAGCCTAGCTTAGATCGCCGCTAGGGCATACATTTAACAGGTCATAGTTATAAGGGTATCACACACATAATAAACAATGTTAGTCAATTTCTGAATAGGAACTTTAGAGTGTTAGTAATGTATATGATTTAGTGTATGTTAATACGTAACATAGCCAAAGTCTGTTTTATACAGATTTAAAGCATGGTATCTCATGATTTATTGTAGCATATTTGGTCTTCACATGCATTCATCCACTCAAGTGAAAGGTTAGATGCATGGGAAACATATATTTACCCTGCATTTTTGGCCAGATCATCTATGATCATTTTTAGGGAAATGGGGCAAAAACAAACTTTTAGCTTACTTTTATAGGGCTGTATCACCACAATGACTGCTGTTAGGACCAAACAACTCAGCAAAGTGACGGCTAGACCAACATGTCATGGGTGCTTGTCACCGTCACCCAGTCTTTGGGCCATAATGTGATTAGGTGTCCGCCAGCATGAGTGAGTTAGCCTAATATTGCAGGGCCTAACCACTTGCTCTGCAGAGTACAGCGACACGCCAGAATGCTTGGAGTGGGACATTTGGCTTGATGCAGTGAACTCCCACACCCAAAATCTGCTTGTTGCTATTAGTCTCCAGTGTAGAATTTTTATTTATTTTCTTCACCCGCCAGTGTTGGGTTAATATTTCAAGAGATTTTACACACCAAAGAATGTTTATTTTGTGTCGTGTTAAGCACATACTGCACAGTGAAGCATCAAAACTGAAAACAGGTAATGCAGATATCAATCACATATAAATGGAAAAGACATAATAAAATATATGACAATATAAAATTTAATTTCCCACTTTGCAGTGGGAGAATAGGGGAGGGCAAATTCCCTTAACCCAATGGTGATGGCCACTCAAGAACTCAAGTAAATAATTAGAAGCACAGGGACACATTTGGCTGTAGCATGCATCATTTTCCAGTGATTGTGGCCCCCAAAAAAGGCTTTAACCCAACTTTTGAAGGGTTGTATTTCCTGAACAGCCACATCTAGAGCCAAACAATTTAGCAACTGTTTGTTTATGGCACACTACTTGGAGCTGGTTGACTGTACATGGTGCGTATCCTTGCTGTGGTGTGCGGCTGTACGCCGCGGCAGCGCACCAAATCACTACAAGCCAGTGATTCGGCTTGATGTACCGAACTCCAGCACTCAAAGTCTGCGAGTTGCCATTGATCTCTAGAGCGTAGTAGTTTTTTAGTTTTCTTCATCTGTTGTCAAGTAAGTAAGAAACATTTAAATGCATTATCTTAACTCATTAACAGCAGAAATTAAAATTGACTAGTAGCCAGTAATGTAGGTTGTTTGGTCACATCTTATACTTTTAGCTGCAGAATACACAATTTTTAAAGAAATGTACCAAAAAAGTGTAAGTCTACTTTTGTGGGACTGCATCTCTTCAGTGATCATAGTCAGGGCCAAACTAATGTGCAGATATTTAATATACAAAGCTTTGAGCAGGTGTGACTATGACTGGGTTGATAACATAGCTTCTTATGCTTATGCTAATGTTAATATTTAACGAGTTCCACTTAGGTATCAAAATGTAATAGATGGTCAATATTTTGGCCAGAGCCCAGGCATCAAGGTTGTCTTTATTTTAGATCTTGTGTGGCTTCCACAGCATTCTTCAAGACACATCAAACAGTGGGGAAAATTCATACATCATGTATCCTCATGCAAGGATAGAGCCCTTCAAATTAGGCTGAAAACTCATATTTTATCGTGCTTTTGTAAATAAAGCCGCAAGGAATGGGTATGCACAGCAAGTAATGACAGAAATTACAGAACTTCACTGGTACAAACAGTTATTCAAACATATGGAGCCTGTACTTTGATAGCTTTATGGTTTACATAGCCTAGATGCACAGGGTTAATAAGTGCTGCTATTCGGAATGTTTGTAGAAGTGTTAGTTTTTTGTATTCAAAATAAATTATATAGGAAATTATAAGTAAACAGAGAGTAGGTGGAAGTATTTTACTGAACTGGTATTCAAATGTCATTGAAGAGCTTGAACAATAGTAGTAAGTACCTCTGAGTGAAAAACGCCCTAATTTCTGGGGAATAACTATAGTAGCAAGTGATCTGGTGGTCTCCTTGGAGAGAAGCCTGTCATTGTTAGGTTAACTCAGAGGTTGAAAAAAAAAAGTTATTGTATTGCTTTATAACAGAAGGATGTGCCTATACCGAAAGAGGGAATAATATTATTCCAACATATTCAGAAACTTCTAAAACCCAACACTGACATGTATCAGAAATATCTCAGCATCATAACATCCAGCCATTTGGTGTTGGAGTCTGCTTCATGTAGCAGAACTTCCCACTCCACGTGCTTGCAGACCATGTGGTTTTTTATAATGGCTCAATGGGTGACCTGTCTGTAAAGGGTTGAGAATATTCTTTATTTATGCTTATATGCCAAGATTTGACCACATGCTCTACTTCTCACTATAGAACACATGAAAAAAATAATTAATACATTTTTAAACATCCCTATAAAATAAACTGTTCTAAACCCCAATAGATAGGTGCAGGCAGTGGATATTAACCTGGGAAGAACACCTCCATAGGGAAGTATAAGTGATTTCTAGGGGAGGAATGAGACAAAGGGCAAAAGTCTCAATTTCTTGAAAAATATTTTTATTCTCTCAACATGAGCTTGAACTAGCACTGAGAAGGTTATGAAAAAATGCCTTTGTGTTGAATTTAGGAACTTCATTTTTCTGTGTAGGTTTTTGACCCTCTCCTTATCCTTCAAGACTCATGGGGGAAGGGGGATTCTTGCTCTGGAACAGTATACTTCAAGGTGAATTCCATTCTCTTTGAGTCTGCCATTCATGCCCCTGGTAATCACTCCTCCTTTTTCACATTTATTTGCTTGGGGCTATTGATGAGTTGTTTTACCTCAGGTGCTCTATTTACCTAAAAATAGTAAGCAATACATAATAAGTTTATTAGGGCATTGTGAACACACATGTATTGCTCTTTTTGATTCAATAACTGGAGTATTAACAATATTCTGATGGCATTTTAAACTTGTTGGTTCAAGGTCCCCTTTTTCAATTGTAATATACACTCAATGTGGGTATTAGGATGTATTATTTCCCTCTTTGTTGCTAGAGAACAAAGGGTCATAGTCATTGCTGAAGCTGATCTGCTTTGCTGGCTGCCTCTTCAGCTTTTCAACACAGTCACTGTCTGCCTCTGTTTCATGAATTGCTTTTGATGAACTTATGAGTCTTCAGGTTGCCTTGCTGCCCAAATTTATGGTCCAAGACAGTCAGTGTGGCCAAGAAAACAACCTGTATCCTTTGCTTTCAGTGTGTTGACCCACAATTTCAAATAGTGTGGATCATTTTGGTTCGAGGTGACTTTTTTAAGTCATCTGTAGAGGAGGGCTTGTGCTGTGAGCTCTATATATTTCTCTCTGATTAGTTCTAGCTTATTAAAAGGATTTTTTAACAGATACAACTTTGAAATGTGGCTCTCGGTTGTCTTGTTGAGGACTTTATCTCTGTTGTAGAAATACCACAATAAAGCACCAGAAAGACAAAGCTAATGGCCAGGGTCTTTATCTGTTGACATCACATGGTAATACAACACCTAGATGGCCTTCCTTATACTGAGTTATCATGGATGGTCTTTCCAAAATACTGTGACAGATGTCTTTGATCTTATCGGTCATCATGTTGGCACTGCCTAGAATGCAGTCATCCCAATCTTCAAGATTATCTCACTGTTTCCCTTTCTTCTGAAATCTTGAATCCATTCTCATACTCCAGTGATATAGGCACTCTTTTTTGATGATGGCTTCATCATGAGGGCCACACCCCTCATTCTACATGAAATACAGATGGGGATGGGGGACCCATC